TGCAAAAGCAAAACGCGCAACGCCTTGCACGGCCGGCCCGTTGCACGCGGTCCCTCTTCGCCTGCCGTACGCCATCCCATAATTTTTCCTCCTCCCCTCCCCTCCCCTCCCCACTCCTCCTTTTGCTCCGGTTCCCACGTGGTCCCGGGTTGGGAACCCGGGGTTGCATTGCACGTCGGAAGGCTTGCAAAAAAAAAAAAAAAAGCAGAAAAAGCCCCGCTCCTCTGCAGCGCTTGCTGGAATGAGGAGGCTGCTGGGGGGGCCAAAGGGGATTTGGGGTTATTTCAGGGTCGCCGTCGGGGCATGGAGAAGCGGCCCCGGGGGTCGGCGGAAGGGGCGCCCGGGTTCTGGGTTTCTCGGGGAAGCCATCGGAGTTTTGCCCGGTCCCTGGAGATCTAGCCCTTGGGTGGGCGAAGGCTGGAGGGGAGCCGCCGGTCAGGAGGTAAGGAGATGCCCCCAGGAGGAGGGTCCCTCCTTCTCACCAGCCAAAGGGGGCTGGAAGCGTGCAAGTCCTCGTAGGGAGGTCTTTGCAAAGGTCCTGCCTGCTTTTCAGCTCCAGATTTCCTTTCCTCCCATCTTTTTCTCCGTTCTCTCTCCCATCTCTCCTTCCTTTCTTCCTCTACCTGCCTTCACTCCCTCCCTCTCTCTTATTTATTTACTTACTTCCTCCCTCCCATCTTTTTCCTTCCTTCCCTCCCTCTCTTTTACTTTCTTCTTCCCCCCTCCCTTCCTCTACCTACCTTCCTATCATTCCTCTCTCTTTACTTACTCCTTCACTCCCATCTTTTTTCCTTCCCTCCCTCCCAGTTCCTTCCTATCCCCTTACTTTCTTACTTCTTCCTCCCTCCTGCCCTTCCTTCCTTTTTCTTCCTTCCTACCCTCCCTCTCTTTTATTTACTTCCTCCCTCCCATCTTTCTTCCTTCCCTCCCCCTTTGTCCCTAACCCCTCTCTCCCTCTTGTCCTTTTTCCCTCCCTCCCTCCTGCCCTTCCTCCCTTTTCCTTCCTTCTTTCCTCCTTTAGTCCGTCTCTCCCAGTCATCTTTCTCCTTCCTTCCTTCCTTCCTTCCTTCCTTCCTTCCTTCCTTCCTTCCTTCCTTCCTTCACCTACTTTCCTACCCTCCCTCTCATTTACTTCCTCTCTCTCTTCTTTTTTCTCCCCCCCTTGTCCCTACCCCCTCTCTCCCTCTTAAGTCCTTCTTCCCTCCCTCCCTCCTGCCCATCCTTCCTTTTCCTTCCTTCTTTCCTCTCTCCGTCCGTCCTCCCAGTCATCTTTCTCCTTCCTTCCTTCCTTCCTTCCTTCCTACCCTCCCTTATTTACTTACTTCCTCGCTCACATCTTTTTTCCTCCCTCTCTCGCCCATTCCTTCCTACCCCCTCGCTTACTTCTTTCTCCCCTCCTGCCCTTCCTTCCTTCCCCAACCTTTCTACCCTCCCTCTCATTTACTTCCTCCCTCCCTTCTTTTTTCCTTCCTCCCTCCCTCCCCCCTTCCTTCCTGCCTTCCTCTACCTCCCCTCCCCTCCCTCCCGTCAATCCATCTTTCTCTAGACAGAAACATTTTCAGCATCTTCCTATTTTTATCTATAGATTTATGCAGGGCAGAGTCCCTATTCCAACTGGGGGGGGGGAGCATGCTTTTTAACCCTTCTTTTCTGTAAAACCCGTCTGCTTTTCAGTATTACATGTATTTTATTTGCGTTTGTATTTATAGTGGGCCGCTATTTCTCTGGATGGTACAGGGCTCCTTGCTTGGGGAGGGGGGGTTGAACTACAAGACCTCCAAGGACCCTTCCCACCCATATTATTTTATGTTCTATACAAGCAACTCAGAGTCCCGGGGAGGGGGCTGCAGAGCAGATTAAAGTCCATTTTTATCTGTGGGTTCTCTCTTTTCTACCCTTATGTACTTAAACTAGGATTGCAACTGTACTTAACTACCATGGCAATTATACCTAGCTACTCTGCCCAACTAGCATTGCAGCTGTATCTAGCTGTATCTACCTGCAGCTATAACTAGCTAGTATTGCAGCTGTACCTAACTAGCATTATAGGTATATCTAACTATCATTTCAACTGTCCCTGACTAGCATTGCAATTGTACTTAACTACCATGGCAATTATACCTAGCTAGCATTACTACTCTACCTAACTAGCATTGCAGCTGTATCTAGCTGTATCTACCTGCAACTGTAGCTAGCTAGTATTGCAACTGTACCTAATTAGCATTATAGGTATATCTAACTATTATTTCAACTGTCCCTGACTGGCATTGCAACTGTACTTGACTGCCATACCTAACTAGCTTTGCAATGAAGCAGCTAGTCCTCCGTTACACTGTGCATTCTTGTGTGGGGGTGTGTGGGGGTGTTGTGGTCTCTTCCAGTGTCTTGCAATGGCTGAGCAATTGGGAAGTCTGGAAAACAGCCTGGCTAAGAGGCCGAGGGAGGAGAAGGAGCCGGGGAAGCAGGAGGAGAACGGACACGATGCCAAAAGGCTGAAGGACAACGAGGACGAGGTCAAAGACGAGGCGAAGAAGTTCCCGAAGAAGAAAGTTGTGCTGTTGCTGGTGTATTGTGGGAAAGGCTATCATGGGATGCAGGTAAGTGCCTGGCTGTAATGGCACGTGGGAATATGACTTCGAACCTAGACCAGTGATGGCTAACCTTTTTTGGCTCCCTTGGCAAAAGTGGGGGGAGCGCAAGGGGGTCGTGCATGGGCGTGCCACGCCCATAATGCTATGCATGTCCCCCCCTCCCTGCGCACATGCGGGCACGACCAGCTCACACACGCACAAACACCTTTCTAGAAGCTTGGGGAGGGCAAAAACAGCCCCCCCCCCTCACATGGAGGCTCCCCGGAGGCTTCAGAGAAGTCACTTCCAGTTTGCTCATAGAGCCATTTTTTGCCCTCCGGAGTCTTCTGGGAAGCCTCCTGAAGGCCTCCGGAGGGCGAAAACCGGCCCTATGAGCAAACCGGAAGTCCTTTACCGAACTACTGGTTTGCCTGTAGGGCCAGTTTTTCGCACTCCAAACGGCCTCAAAAGAAGGCCGAAGTCAGCTGGCCAGCGCACGGATGCGCGCTGGAGCTGACAGGGCAACGCCTCGCGTGCCCTAACAAATGGCAGTGTGTGCCACAGGTTCGCCATCACGGGCCTAGAACAATTTTACTGTCACTTTGAATGTACACTAATCTGCATACGTTAAAATGAAATTTTGTTGCGCGCAGCTCTGAAAGGGTCTCCGCCTACAATATACTCTAGATAAAAATGACTAAATAAATGAATGAATACAAAATTATGCATCTCTCTCTCTATATAAAATCCAAATACCACTCAAACACATCATGAAATTTCTAGAACCATAAAGCCTACACAGTTGTAATTTGGCATGTATGTTCCTCTAGGCTTCTAAGTGCTCACTAAGAAAGGATTTTTTGAAATGACTATCAGATCCATTAGTATTTCCTA